AATTTCTCAAATCTCTGTATTTTTTAAAGAAGGTAAGTGAAAAATGATTTTAAATTTAAAATAAATATTTTCACAACTATAATTAAGTCCATCCATGGACGCAGTATATTATAACGTAATCCTGAAAGCCTGAAATTGAGGTTATAGTAAAATCTCAACGAGACATGGAAAATTCAAATAAAAGAAAATATAAAATTATATAAATTTATTATTAAAATGTTCTTGATATCAAGTACCAATATCATAACAGTAGAGGTAGGTATTAATGAGATAGGTATATTACAAAGTAACAATTACAAATGTGCGATACTATAAGCTACCTATAAAACACTGAATAATAATGATAATAATAACAAACGTCTTTATTTTAATAATCCTCGGCGAAGTCCAGCATAGCTGTTCCACTCAACCGAGTACCAAATACAAACATTTCATATAATACAAATGTATATTGTTATTTAGATTTAAATTATTTAATATACATTTTATATAGATACATGCAATAAGAAAATAATTAACAATACATAAACACAACCCGGTAAACCACAAATGGCATGTACGGGAAGCCGAGTACTCGGATTGCCGTTTCTTCTGAGTCGGAAGTACCGTACCATTTGACGTAATTTAGAAGTAGAAACTGCATGTGGTCCATATTTGGCTTTGCAGACATGGGAGGCATCCTTACGGGCCGAACTATATATAGATATATGAAGGCGGCTACAATGTAATGGGCTGCCGACATTCGGCTGGGCGGACATGCCCTACCTATATACCGAAGCTGCACCCGTATATCGGGCCGAGTACGGCATTCGGCAAGCCTCCTTCGGCCCAGTTATGGTGCCGATTAACTGTGTTTATTGGGAAACTTTAAAACAAAAGAAATTTTTTCAGTAATTGTTTAAAGATTTCTAGTCACATGGCTTAACTACCACATTATCAATTTCGATATTCAAATTATCTTTTATAACTTTGGTAACATTACCAAAGCATATTGCTTGAGTTTTTGACGAATTTATTTTTAGCCCATGTTTAACTGAATACTCGAATATATTAGACAGAGTTTGATTTATCTCTAAGCGAGCATTACCCAGTTCATTAACTAATAAATTCTTGTAAATTTGAGTATCATCAGCAAATTGATCTATTGTACAGTTCACAGCATTATTGTTAAGATCCATTGTATATATAAGATAAAGAAGAGGTCCAAGAATTGAGCCCTGTGGCACACCTTTGTCAATCATTCTTGAGCTAGATTCATTATTGTCTATAGTCACATATTGGCATCTATGCGATAGGTAACTCTTTAATAGTTTTAACAATCCTACAGAATAACCATAATAATTCAGTTTGACTAAAAGTAATTTTCTGTCTAAGGTATCAAATGCCTTACTGTAATCCAACAAAATTAGTGTAGTAATTTTCCCCTTATCCACTGCCTGTATTATGTCATCCAGCATTTTAGTTAGTGCAGTTCCCGTACTATGTGAAGTTATAAACCCAGATTGATTTTCGGCAAATAGTGATCTGATAAATATTGTACCATCTGTGAATAAATTAATTTTTCCAAAATTTTGGATAAGACTGACAACTTACTAATAGGTCTTAACTGATTGATTTCTTTAGGATTTGCTACTTTAGGCAAAGGGACTATGCATGCCACTCTCCAATTATTAATAGGAAAATAACCTTCGTCAAACAATGTGTGTTAAATGAGGCAAAATATGTGGACAACAAAGTTTTATCATGGACAAATGGACAAAAGTAGGTATAAAGGTAACCAGATTGCTATAAAACAAATCTAGAATCTATTAGGAAAGTTCCCAAAAGAAACTTCCACGCGAGATTCAAAATTCGGTTTTAAATTTTAGTTGCGGCTTTCAAGAAGTCCCGTCTTCGAAGCCAGATCGCTCTAAAACAGACCTGGAATCGATTACGAAAGTTAAAAAAATCAAAATTCGCTTTAAATGAAAGTTTCAGAGTATCTTTGCGGCAGAGGGTTTAGGAAAAACAATAAAGAAGGGAAATCTCGATGAGAAGAGAATTAAGTAGCACACCACTTACCACTAACGGCAGTAATCACACAATTTTTTTTCACTTGAATGGTTCAACAGCACAGGGGCAGTCAAAATTATTGGCAGCAAGAGAGAGAAAGAGAGAGACTAGGTCACAAGCAGCTACTGCAGACAGGGTATTGTCCTAAGAGTTAAAGTATTTTATGATTTCATCTAGTGACGGCTCATTCTTTGGATTAACGGTTTTTGTCTTTTTTTTAAACTTTACTGATTTATTTTAAATAGTTTTCTGGATTTATGGTCAATTTTGAGCACGCAGTCAAATTTACGTCACTTTACGGTATATCAAAATTTTAAATATCAATAAAAATGCAAAATACAAAAAAACAGCAACTCATAATAAAAAGTTTGTAAGTGAAAAAAATTAATTACTTTCTATTAATGTCTGTCATGAAAATATATTGAACAATTTCCATAACCTCCTTCAACTTTAAGAAAAACAGAAATTTTAATATTTACATATTCCTTCCGGAAGTAATTAAATATAGTTGTTATCGCTATTCACATAATTATAAAGAATGAAAAGCACAGTTTTGTTTAATTGAATAGGTACTCAACAGAAGCTACTTCCTGATTGAATCATCTTCTACTTACACTGCGCCATTGACGTAATCTTCTGAAATAGAAATTATTGAGGTATCCACTATAAAATTTTGATTCTTTTGATAATTAAAATAGTTGAAAACAACTAGTTATTTTAAAATAAACTAAAAACGATAAAATTGTAGGGTATTCATTATGTCCTAAAAAAGAGGGTTTTTATCGCATGAATCGTTCAAATTATCATTAAAGATGAAAAAGTCGCAGATTGCTCTTGAGTTAGATATTGGAGAGAGTGGTAAAAGTGCAAGCCTTACAGTTTATTAATTATATCTTAAAAACGAAGCAAAATTCAGGTATAGTTAATGGGAATTTTTTTGTAGAGAATTGCGACTTCTCATTGAAATAGATTATTTCAAATATTTTTTTATGTAAAAATTATAAAAAAAATTACGAATAGTAAAAAATGTGATATTTCCAAATTGTGAAAACACTTTTTCAAATCTAAATCTCATCATTAAAATAAAACATGTATTTTGTTTAGTTGATGTATTAAATGTAACCTATAAGCTATTTCTAATCAAATTGCGTGGCTAGCTTTGTAAAAATTACTGTAAATTTAAATAGATCATTTTATATGCTGACTTGTATTTATTTATAAAGAACTTCTCTACCATATAATTATAAAGAGACCAACGAATGAGTTGTAGGGGCAACAAACTGTTTCGAACTGTACCTAATAATTATTGGTACCTACTTATTAAAAACAAAAAAAAATTCGTCGAAAACTCGAGGTCGAAAAAATCATGATTCCTATACTTTCCTTATATCTGTATACAGATACGAAAGTAAAAAGAAGAAATAAATATAAATTTTAACGAATATCTAAGTATAGATCATTATTTGTAAGTATAAAATTTAAAACTATATCGTTTCTAATTTTAATTCTTATAAATATAATGCGGCTCTTTAATGTCTCCCCTTTTGAGTTTTTTTTTTTACAAAGTGAATCATAAAAATCTGATTTAAATTGCTTAAAAAAAATACTTAAAAATAAGTAACATACATAATTAAAAAATAAAATTTTAGTAGGTTAGTAGAGTGTTTATTTGTTTAGCATTGTAAAAGAAAAGGGAAGTGCATTCATTAGGACTCATTTTAAATAATGTTTCGAGGAATATCCAAGTGCGCGGATGATTGCAGATTCGTTGGGAACAATGCAGAAAAATGAATTGTATCACTTTTACATACAAATTGAATATTTCTTTAGCACAGTTGTTTTTTTTTAATTTTATTTAATTTGGATAGGTCCGTATTAGATACATTTTGGAATAAATTAATGTAAGTTTCTTATTTTTGGCGATCATTGCTCGACTGTAAATTAATATTACACATTCTATATTCTTTTTGTAATTTTATTAACTCGTTTTAGTGTAATTATTTTTTTTTAAATACTACAATATATTTAAAAAAAGAAAACATTTGATGTTATCAAATTTTAATTCGTTTTTATGCTGTAATAGTATAAACGAAATGTAATATTTTTTTGATCCATCCAAGGAAGCAGGGATGAAGTAATTATTAATTATTTTCGGAAAGTGAGGAGGCCATTTTTATTCCAAATTTTTTTTTAATAATAGATTACACATAAAATGCAACCCAATTTTCATTTATAACTATTTCGGAGATCTGAGCCTTTTCGTATTTTCCGATTGAACGATTTGATAGGAAAATGTTTAACTTAGGTGGTTCAAGGATTAATTTTCAGAAAATTTATTGAATTTGTAGTTTATTCTTACAATGAAAAAGGTCTAAAAATATGCCACTTTCTACCGCACGTTTTTAATTAAAACCAATTTAAAAAAAATCAATGCCTGAACCACCTAAGTTGGACCTTTATCTACAATAAATAGTTACAATTAACTTTTGGTCTGCAGACGCCATTCTAATGAACAAGGATGCTCTGTCCTTGAAGATAAAACCACCTGGTAGACGTCCAATTGAAAGGGTTACGAGAAGATTAGGATCAAAGGGATAATCTTTCCTGGTCACAAGGCAAATCTTCTTGATAAACAATGAGAAGAAGAATAAGAATACAAAAAATAAAAAATAAACTAATTAAAGAATGGTAATAAAAAAGTTGTTGCAGAGTGACCATCGAAATATTATTATACCGCTGGTACTATTTTCCTTCTTTAAAATCCTTATTCTTAACCACATATATAATTATAACACACGCTGTCCAGTATCCTCCAAAGACAACAAACTCGAAGATACTTAACCGGCTTTTGAATGTTGTATTCATAATCTTTATTCTTCACTGGTTAGTTAGTTCTCTTCTCTTAGTGGTACGCAAGTGTCCTGTGTCGCAAGAAATGGGCTTGAATGTAAACAATCGAAGGTAGTTCAATTAATTGTTTGAAATAAATAATTGATTTAGTAATGTAACAATTGAAAGTTGCATAGTTCATTTGTGAAAAATGCTTATTAGTTATCTGAAGATGAGTTTGGCCATTTTGGGAATCGTTAGTGCCTTGAATATTGATACTGAATTGAGAGTAATGACAATTGGTAAGTAATTCGTATTTTTTAATAAACTATTTTGATTCTCCGGAAAAACATATTTAAATTACAAAAACGAGCATAAGTATTATTTTTGAAAAACCAAAAGTTTTCTGATTTAAATTGTAATTGTTTTGTATTATTATTGTCGTTTTAAAATAAATAGAAAATTACGTAGGTAGTCGACTAAAATTATTTTAATATACAGGGTGATTCTAAAAACACGCTGCCAATATAATACTGTTCTGAGGAAATCAAATCAGGCCTTAATTAATTAAATTGAATGTAAGTTTTTATTAACTGAAATTTTTTTCAAAATTTCGCTCTTTATTATTCATAAAGACCATAAATATTATAGTTTGTTGAAAATACAAAATGATACAGGGTGTTCCACTGAAAAAAAAAAAGAATATCGACAGTGCTAAACTTTCATGAAGTGTATTTACATTTTCGTTCGGAGAACGTACAATTCAGTTTAAAAGTTGACGTATTCGACTGTTTTTTATAATTTTCTAAAATAAGGCCAAAAATGATTTTATTCCATAAATGGTTTCCACAACGTATATTGCTACTTAATTTGAAGCAAAATCTTTGAATGGTCCTATATATTAGTCATCATATACAGTATTTAATTAATTTTTAATACGTTCGCTTGGATAAATTAAAAGAATTTAATCCTGTTTAATTTTTTTGTCTGAAAAAAAAAATGCTGCGAAAAATCAACAATTTAACTAACTGTATCCTACAAATGTGGACCAGGTTCTTTAAACATGTTAATGAACTTCGAACTTTTTTATAATAATTGCCACAGGCTATAATTTGGTAGCAAGTAACCTACGTATAAAGCAATAAAAATCGCGAAGAAAACGAAGAACGTAGTTTCTACTTTTTGATTTCGATTCGACCCTACCAGACCCCATCAATCAAATCGTTGATTAATATTTATGTGGATTCATTTTTTTATTCAGTTATTTTCTTGTATGTTTTTATTTATCATTGCAAATCTAACATAATACCATATCGTTTTTTTTATCGTTTAATTTCGATGTAGATAGGATTTAAAGAACTGGAAGCTAGAAACAAATTCAAGCAACATAGAATATTGTAATGTGAGCCATTTCATTATTTAATCACGCTCTAATCCTCCAAGTCCCTCTCTGTCTTATTTAGCCTTTGAGGCTCAACTTGTCCGATTATCATACATAATTAAACCCTTTAAGACGACTATGGTGGAGGAGCTTTCGATTATTATTCGAGAAAGAACGGGATGTTTCTAGTGTATTCCAAATATAACGTGATAATGTTGTGAGAATATTCTGGAACCTTCACCATAATTTTAAATTTGTATATAAATATTGGTGGAGGATAACGCGGAATCAGTTGTAAGATAAACAGTGGTGAATATAAATAGTAAACAGTTTAAAGACATTCGAAATATATGTAAATTAGAATAGTAGTGTTATAAAATAAATAGGTGTTTAAATAAATTATTAATAAATAGACTTGTTTAAAATAAATAAACATCACAATATGTCAGTTTTAAGATTTGTCAGTTTGTTTGATGTACTTTGATCTCTAGAAATACTGGGATTTGTAAATTTTGGTTCTAGAAATCAATCAAAATTGATTTTCATTATTAAAAGAAGAGGTTAAATTTCTCTTATTTATTAAAGTCAACTTATTTGTAATGAGATTTAATTATATTATTAAAGATATTATATTAAGTTTCAGTGCTACACCCTAAAACCATGGACACGAATATTAAACAATTAAATTAAAGTGACCATGATGAATTTTGTTTGCACTTGTTTATTTTATATACAGGGTGGCGCATCGAAAACGAAACAGAGACATTTACTGGCAGCTCAGTTTTTTTTTTTTTGGAAAAAAGATCGAGAGGGACACAAAATTGGCAAAAAATCATGTTACCACGTGCAACTCCCTAGGCGGGGGTGGCACTATCCCTAAAATCTAAAATGAAAAGGGGGGTCGAATTATTCATCATTTAAAAATTCTCTTTATAATGATGTAAAATTCATGTACTTCTCAGTAGTTTTGGAGATTTATTGATTTAAAGCTTAAAGTAAACTTTAATACATCATCAGCAGTAGAGATTAATACATTTAGCAGCAAAGCAGTTTAAAAATAAAGTAAATGACTTTCCATTAAGTAATAACGATTTTGCTGAAAACATTGCCGCACAGTTTGCAATATTTGAGGAGTAATTTCAGTGGCGTACCCACGGGGGGGTTTGGGTGTCAGAACCCCCTCCATGGAGGGTCCTCGCGTCAACATTTCCGCTATTGTATTGGCGCTGATCTCTATTGACTGTTTGTTTTTATTCACTTTCTAGATAAACCCCCCCCCCCATAGTTCTCAAAAACCCCTCTCATGAAAAATGGTTGGGTACGCCACTGAGTAATTTGAAGGCAATCATTCACAATTCTTTGTCGCAAATCTTCTAAAGATGTTGGCTGAGTAGCATAGATTTTGCTTTTTAAGTGACCCCACAGAATTAAATCCAAAAGTGATAAATCTGGCGATCTTGGGGGCCATTCAATGGCACCTCTTCTACCAATCCATCGACCTGAAAACGTGTGATCTAAATATTGTCGAACACGTAATGCGTAATGTGGTGGGGCACCATCCTTTTGGAACATCAACCTATTCGCAATGTACCGCCGATCATTCTGATTTTCAATTATGGCTATTAGTGCAGGATCTATGGCATCTTGCAGTAATTCCAAATACATTTCACCGGTCAAATTTCCAGGTAAGAAAAAAGGACCAACTAAATGATCGCCAAAAATACCAGATCAAACATTTAATTTTTGTGTTTTAAGTAAATGCCCAAATTTCTTCTGAAAGTAGTATAAACCAATCTGTTGTACATATTAAAGTCTACTTTAAGTTTTAAATCAAAACTACTGAGAAGTACATGAATTTTACATCATTATGAAGGGAACTGAAAGACCTTTCAAATGATGAATCATTCGACCCCCCTTTCCATTTAAGATTTTAGGGTTGATGCTACTCCCTCCTAGGGGACTGCACGTGTTAACATGATTTTTGGCCAATTTTGTGTCCCCCTCGAAAACAAAATGTACGGGTGTGAGCGTTTTTCCAAAAAAAAAAAACTGAGTTGCCAATAAATGTCTGTTTCGTTTTCGAAGCGCCACCCTGTATATATTATCGTTTGGCTTTGATTTTAATAATTCGGCCAGTACCATTAGTAACACAAAGTTATCTTTTATAATTGCCTCATTAAATTAGTAATATGCCTAAATTATTAGACTTTTTAAATGATCTTTTTTAATTTTAACTGAATAATGAATTAAAAATGATTTTAGACTGTTACGAAAGGTTAGCCATTGGACAAAGACTGAATCCAAATAACGTATACAAGTCTTTCCCCTACAATACAGCAACAGACTGCAAAAAAGCATGTTCGAAAGAAAAAATCGTCTGTAAAGCTTTTAGTTTTGGGTAAGTAAGCTATATTAAGTTGATTATAATTATTTTTTAATATTTTTTTCTATTGTAGAATAGCTGAAAAAGGAAATGCTACCTGTGAACTAAGCGCAGATGCTATCAAAGAAACTGCCGATTTAAAACCGATTGGAACAGTTGCTGATACAGATTTTGATCTATATATAAAAAAATTAGGATGTACTCTAGTTACTGAACCAAGCCATCATAAACCTCCAAGCCAAAGTGTTCAATTACACTCAAAACCTGCTACTTTAGGTACGTACTTTAATTAGTTTAATTTCCAGAATATTTTGTTTCGTTTAACCCTGCAAAGTTATTAATTGAAGTTTGCTAAAGGAAAGAACATGCTTTATCCTCATATAGAGAAATCTAGTTAGTTACTTTGTCAGCATCCAGGAGCTTAGTGATTTATTTAGAGCTCTTTAACGAATTTACCGACTCAAAGCAGTTTGTAACATCGTGAAGAGGTGCAAGAGCTGTCTATCCTCAAAGTGGGTGTTCTATAGCTCTAAAGAAATTTAGGATGAGTAACAGAACAACCAAGATATTACTCGCCTTTTACTATAATGAGAAATGGCTAGTAAAAACCACGATGATCGTTCTGCATATAATTTAAAATGGAAAAAAAGATGTCACCTGCATTGGGATTCTCATCTTTCATTACTGCACGTGTTGAGACGACTATCTTCGTTCCACAGAATGCGATTCTTATGTAATGTCTCTCTCTCTCTATTTGATTCATTACGTGTTGAGTTCTCACATAAGAATCTCTGCCCTTATATCTCTTCTCTCTATTGCTTTCAACGTAAAAGTTGAGCTTCGCTTGCATCTGTGTTTCATCACAAATATGTTCATGTAGATATCTCAGAAATAGGTATTCTATATTCTGGGGTTAAATTTGAAAATACCTTGTATTTAATCGAAAAACATTCTAAAACATATCCTTACAATATTTTATTTTTATATAAATATTTTTTTGTTAATTTCAGGTAATATTCAAGAGGAAGCGATTAGTCATAATCCTTCAAATAAACCATTATCAAACACGCCATCCACTTATTCAAACCCAAATCATCCTGATCCTCTTCATAATGTACAAACAGTAGTAAGCGTAGCTACAAGACCTCAGGCTGTACTTAATCCAACACATGGGATCTTGGTTGCTGGTGAAAATCAAAATAGTTACGGTTTTGGGATTGAGTCACTACCATATGAATACTATAATAGCTTTCGGCCTGATGAAAGTTATAATTATAATGGGATAAATCAAGATATGAGGCCTTTTGGTCCCGTTGACTATCCAGATATAGACAGATACGATTTTCATGCAAACGATAATAGACTACATGGTGACAGGTAACATTAAATAAAAAATAATTTTTACAGTTTCTAAAAATAACATATTATCTATACCTTTTTAAAATGATTGATCAATATACAAAATTATAGACAAATCTTTTTCAATGAAGTTTTCTGAATTTTGGTATTTTACACTTATTGGAGAAGTGTTCATCTCTAGTTTTTTACGTACAAGATGCCTGAGAGGGCGTTATAATTAATTTTATATGACCCTTTCCATCTTGGTTAACATATCCCAATTCTTTGGCTAAACGAAGTTCTTCCTGGTTCGCTTCTTCCATGGCAGTTTGAACGGTTGGAAGTATAGTGTCAGATACTAAATCATTATGTTTTAACACTGATAAAAAGAGATTAACGGAATGTTTAAAATTGAATGTTATTCTACCAATCGGGAATGTCCATTACCAGTACTTATAATGGCAAGCATAGTCGCAGAAATGATGTTTAGTGTTCATGTATTCCTATCATGGATCTTTAGAAAATATTTATTTTTCAATATTCCTTTTTTGTTTTTCTTTCCTAAAAACCATTGACGAAAATTTACAATTTAAAGGCTTGTGATCGTTAGCAATTTGAATTCATTGATATGTATAATATCCACTATCTTTCTATTCTCAAAAGGTTTAGGATTTTTGTGGTATGTATCTAAATAGGTTTTGATTTTAGTGTGGCCTTTTTAAAAATTTCCAATTTGCGCCTTCAAAAACTACTCATAAGATGGAGTTAGACCCATGAACCCTCTTATTCAGAAGACCGAGACAATATATAAAAAAATTAGACAATTTAACATTTTTCCATAAGCCAGCTGCTTAGTTTTATATTTGATTAATATCTTTATTAAATACAAGTAGTTTTATTTCTTTTATAAACTGTTTTTCTTAAATTTTTTTAGATATGGAGAAAAAACGCCACCACGTCCCTATTTTCATACACGTTACCCTGTTCCAGACAAATATGGTTCTGTCATACCACATCCAGATGAGTATTATAAACGACCGACTCACCAAGAATACCCAGTCCCAAATTATAACCCCAACAACGTAGAATACTATTATAACAGACCACCGAAACCAATCCAAGAAAAACCTGTGAATGAGTACAATTCCGAATACCATTACAGCCAACCATCAAAACCATTCCCAGAAAAACCTGTGAATGAGTACAATTCCGACTACCATTACAACCAACCATCAAAACCATTTGTTGAAAAACCACTAGAAGAAAACTATAATTCAAAGCCAGTATCGTTGTCTCTTATTTATGAAATAGAAAACACCGGAAACCATGCACAATCGGATACGCTGTATCAAGATCCTCCGAAGAAGTTGAATGGTTATGGTCCAAATAACCACGTTGTTAATAAAGACAAACATCCACCCCATAATTATAAAGAATTTTCTTCAAAGCCGATTGTTACGCATAGTACTGGTCATAAGGGTGAACAAATAACATCGATAATCACTGAAATCAGAGATAGAGGTAAGTGGTACTATTCGGTGGCAGATTTCAACACGGATAAAAATGTAGATTAATTATTAAGAATACGTTCTTTATATTTATTTGTTTGCAATATTTATAAACTCCTGGATAAAATTAACGCACCACTTAATCTAAATATTTACAATATAAACACAACATAAAACTAAGTTGCATTGAAATAATGATGAACATCTAAAAATTAGTCGAATATGACCTTTACATGACCTTAATTTGCCTTATTTTTTCCATAAAAATTTGTTTTTGCTGGAAATGCATAAATAAGCTAGCATAACTCTAAATTGAAAAATGAAAAAAAAAAATCAGTAAAAGAGAATAAATGAATCTGGGTCAACCCTAATACCGTAGGCCCTCCTCTACTTCTTATCACTGCATTCATGCGTCGCGGCATGCTTGATATCAAATGTTCAACAAAAGCTTGCGGTATATTCTCCCATTCTTCAATAGCGACCTCTATGAGTTGGTTGTGATTAGAAATAGGGGGTTTATGAGATATTCTCATAGATGTTCTATAGGATTCATATCCGGACTATTAGGTGGCCACTCTAATAAAGGAATATTAACATCATGTAAGTAACCAATAACCTGTCTAGACACGTGGGGACGAGTGTTGTCCTGCATTAATAAAAAAATTGGGCCCAACAAACGTAGCAAAAGGCATTACATGTTCGACAATAATGTTGTCTAAGTAATATTGGGCATTCATAGACCTCGTACGTATAGGGACCAACTCCGTACGAGCATCTAAGCAAATTCCTCCCCAAAACATTTTAGAGCCACCACCAAAAGGCACTTTAGGAGAGATATTACACCTGGCAAACCTTTCTCCTTGTCTTCGTCAAACACGCTCACGTCCATCTGGAGCTTCAAGGCTAACTCTAATTTCATCGGAGAACAGAACCCGTTTCCAATCATTGATTGTCCAATTCTTGCAAAATTTAATCTCTGAACTTTGTGTTCTCTGGTAAGCAAGGGTTTTTCAGCTGGGCTTCTGTTGCTTAATCCTGCTTCATGTAAACGTCTTCTAACCGTTCGAGACAATATAGCGATATTTCGAACATCTGCTAATTCTTTTTTAAGCAGATTGCTGGTTACTCTCCTGTCTCTAAGAGCACGTTGTCTCAAAAAACGATCATCAATTTGATTAGTGCAACGTTTTCGCCCTTGTCCTGGTCTTCGATGGTACGAACCCGTTTCATTATGTCGCCCCACTATGCGACTGATGCTGGAATGATGTCTTCCTAAAAAACCAGCAACATATCGCATTGAATATCATTCATTCAGGAGAATCGATGCTCTCACTGCCTCCTCCAGTGACAGATTTCTTTGACGGTTCATTTTTTTTACTTGACATTCTCCCAAATGAACTTTCAAACATGCATGTAATAAAAACAATTACAATCAACAGCTTGCGTCTAACAGAAACTTTGCTTTAATCAGCACTTTTTAAGAAAATGTTAACACAGTTTTAGTCTAAAACGAGGTTTAATACGAATTACTGTCAAAACAAGGTATTAAAAAACATCTGTCAAACAAGGTCCATGGCCTACCAATGAACTTTTAAAACGAATGATTAAGGTTATAATAACTGATTTTTAGTATTTCCACTCAATAACAAAATAAGATTTAAATCTTCAAATATAAAATTATTAACTTCCAATTAATCAAAATTGTATATACTTTTCCATCACTCAAAGTGTGTTCACTTGTCATATCGCAAAATAGTGTTTCTGCCGTCTCTTCTTCATTCGATCTCGATGTGTTCAGTCAATCTCTAAATACAATAAATCCCCATAAGACAATTTTAATTGTGTTTAAATATAACTGCGACTTTAATAAATCGGAAGTATGTGTGTCAACGATTGTTATCGAAAAACGTCTCCAAGGTAAATTACTTACTATTATTTTAAGCATAAAAGAATTTTTGAGGTTGTTTTTTCTAATTTTAAACAATAATGCTTTACGACTACAATTTATATTTTGTTTTCTGTTCCAAGGTGTAAGACTACTTCAGAATAGTCGTGTGTTTCGTACCCAACTGTAAAGGTAGTAGGCAGTAGGTACTATGCAGTAAGCAAAAATTTGTTAATTTTTTTCTTTCCTACAAAATATATAAACCATGTGGACATAATGTTTTTAACTTTTACTTTAGTCGTATTATTCATAGAGGCATGTTGGAGGTATATGACATTATAAAATTTTATTACAAAAACCAACAATTCATGTAAGGGGGTGTTCATTAATTACGTGAGGTATTCAAGGGGGGAGGGGACAAGCTAAATCTTTCCAAATCTCACTTGGGGGAGAAGGGGTCTTTGTAAATCTGACGTAATTTTTTAAGTAGAAAACGGTGTTAAATTGCGTGAAAGGAAAGTTAAATTAAAGTAAAGAATGTTTCTAGAAATTTTATATTAAGGCAATATTCTCAAATGCTAGTCTTAAATAAAAGTAATAGAACATATTCTGTTTTTGTTTTTTTAATAATAATACCAACGCATTTACATCCAAAACATAAATTTTCAAAAATCTCACGTGAGAGTTGAGGAAAATATTACAAAATCTCATCAGGGGGAAGGGGGTCAAAAAATCCTCAAGAATACCTCACGTAATTAATGGACGTATATTAAAAAAAGTTTAATACATATTGTGACAATAACTGGGGCTAACTGCATTTCTTGTGAATATGAAACACAAAACGTATTCAAACAGCATTCAGTTTGCTCTTTTGAGAAGTTGACCAGAATGACATAGTGCAGTTTACCTCCGAGGTACTGATACCTATTAGATAATCTTCAAAACTTTGACTTTATCATTCTTTTATTGTACTTATTTTTTTAGTCTATTATGTACTGTTTTAGCCTTGATTAAATTATTATTTTTATGTTACGTATTGTGATGGGACTGATCTTATAAAATAAACATTTTAGTTCACTTGTTTTATTTGCCAATAAAAGGTATTAAAAAAAAATATCATTTTATTTGACATATGTGACAAATTGTGAAAATGATTAAATTTACAATAAAAACGGAAAAACTTTCTGAATATTCTGATAAATATTCAAAAATAATCTTAAAATATGAAGGAAGGTCAGCTGACTGTAACTAATAATGTTTATAGATGGTTTTCATACCAACACCAATAATATCTTCTTCAATGTAAATAATATTTTTGTGTGTCTACATGTCGCCATTTTTAAAGGGCCAACGTCACGTGTTCTGGACAGCCTAGTTGTAGTAATGACATAAACCAAAATGTAATAGATTCTATTACAATTGTAATGGAGAAACAACATTGTTTAGTTTGGTTGGACCACATTGCCACATTTAGTAGATTTCTACTTTTTTCGACTAGTTTTAGTAGAATTTTTTTGGTTCTTTTAGTAGTTTTCTTTAAATTAATAAAAAATTTCCAGTTACTCAAATAAAACTTCCTATTTAAATAATTGTATTGCTAAAAACGTTAGGTAAGAACTAGGATTGGACGATTATCAAAATAAATAATTCTTTTTGATTAATCGATTCTTTTCGATTACTCGATTATTTTGGAATAATCGATTATTTCTGATTAATCGATCATATATCCTTAGAGTACAGCAAGTTAGTTAATAGTTGTTGTGTTGGAAAACAGTATGATAATGATGATAATAATAAACACACTTAATATAAATTCAAATAAAAAAAAACAGATATATTGGTGCTGATACAAAGTTTTGAACTGAACTTACAAATGCTAAAATTATTGAAAAAAATTATCACTAACCGGCACTGCTTACGGAAAGCCATTTCTCATAAGATAGTGCGAGATCTTTTGAACAAGTCTCTTATTTTAACGAATTTAAAAACTAATTAATTTTTTATTCATAGTTTTAAACGATTTTATTAATTCAATTTTTTTAACCGTGGGAAGGTATTGTGTTAGCCTTCACCGTATTTGTTTATTACTCCAAGTTAGCAAACTGTTTCATAGCACTACCTTGTTATGTGAGAACAGCCGTTACATTATAGCAATGAACTAAATTTTTAGACGAACACCATTCGCCCTCTCCATCATAAACCAAATTTCCTATTTCTATATCCGAATGCCCATAAGTGATTTTAAGTCGATCACACTACCAGTGCTTCTTTATCGTGGTTCCCTATTGTTTCTGAGATGTCGAAATGTTCTCATTGTTACACGGTTCTTCCACTACTTTACACGGCTTTTAATCATTCCAATGACAGTGAAACAGTGAATGATGCATTTATTACGTCATGCGATGAAGATCTTGAAAGCAACAAAAGCCGAAGGCTGTTTTTCAGGTTACAACAATGGTCACTTATTGTTGGTAATGTGCATAACTAATTTATATACGATAGTTTATCCTATTAAAGTACAAATGAACTTAAATTTGTTTTGAAAAACGCTTTATGAGATTATGCGTATATTTACGTGTTTATTCTATGATTTATTATTGGTTGGAAACAAAGAAATGTGGTTGTAAGTACAGCAATTAGAAGAGAGGATAAATGCTATTTTGTTTTTATTATTTATGGTCGAATGAGATTGCATTTTTAACTTCTTATACCCTAATGTATACCATTCAAAGAAAATGCATTTTTATTGATTGAGAGAAGAACTAGATTTCATTATTTAATAACATAAAGTAATCATTTCCGTATCAGATCCTTATGTAATAACCAGTGGCGGCTCGTGGTAATTTGAAATGGGTGTTCACTTTTTCCAATAATTTGATCATTTTTGTAAGTTCGGCCCAAAACTTTGTACAAGAGCTAATATCGCTGTTTTTATTATTATTGGAGTTTGTAATAAATGTAGTTATTATCAACATCATACTATTTTCAAGCACTATAACTATTAATAAATGAATATTTTAGTTAGTGTGATATTTGTTTTGTTTTTAATACATTGAAAACCACCTATAAACATTATTAGTTAACTGACTTTTCTTCATAATTTGAGATTATTTTTAAATATATATAAG